AGGAATAGTGTGTTAGCTCAGGTCCTCAGAGAAGCAGATACCAAGCTGGGTTTAGACATGGAAGAGACTTATTGGGGAAAATGCCTGAGAGAGAAAATAGGGAGAGAGCCAGAGGAAGCTGAGAGAGCTGTCAGATTGCGGTGTAAATCTGACCATTAAGGATGAGAGAAGGAAAGAAGAAGGTGAGGTAGGAAGAGTCACAGACTGAAGTGCAGTGCTAACAGTTTGGCCAGGCTGATGGGTAGCCCTGTTGCCAAAGTTGCAGGTCACATAGTCCTGTATCTCCCAGAAATGAGCTTGACTTAGTATCCCTACTGTGTTCAGTCATTGGCTGGGATCAGTGTGGCCTCAGAGCAAAGTAGCAAATATTGGGGTGAATTCATAGCACAGCACCTGGGGCAAAGGTCAGTTACACTCCCCACATTGGAAGAACTGAAAGGCACATTTTAATGACTATCTCAATTGAATATTTTCCACTTCTTTGGGTCACTGGCTACCAATTCAAGGGGTGGCTTTTTGGATTGAGTGAGCCTGTCATATGCCTGTGCCCTGACTGCAAGGGGGACCTGCTTCCCACCGAGATTCCTATGCTCTCTCCCCCAAATAAAGGGGTTCAAATGCTGGACAGCAACACCCCCCAAAAAGACAAATGTCTACTATACCATGTGAACTCCTTAAGAGCAGGATCTTTGTCTTGCTCATTGCTATTACAAATATTTACAAATAAATGTTTATTGAAATAATTGAATGAATGTGGCCAGCTGGTGTTTAAATGACCTTACACACACGCACGCACACACAGTCAATTTAGTCATCAAGGAAATGCAAATCAAAAACCACTAGGATGGCTATAATGAAAAAGACAACAAGTGTTGCTGAGGATGTGGGGAAACACACTGCTGATGGAAGTGTGAAATGGTACTGTCACTTTGGAAAAGTCTGGCAGTCTCTCAAAAGTTTACATGTGGTTACCACATGATCCAGTATTTTACTTGTATGTATATAGCCAAGTGATTTGAAAACATGTTTATGCAAAAATGTGTACACAAATATTGCTAGCTGCATTATTCATAATAGCCACAAGTGGAAACAACCGTGTAATGGTTAATTTTATGTGTCAACTTGGCTAGGCTGTGGTGCCCAGTTGTTTGGTCAAACACCAGTCTAGATGTGTTCTGAAGGTGTGTTTTAGATGTGATTAATATTTAAATCAGTAGATATTGAGTAAAACAGATTACTCTCCATAATATGGGTGGTCCTCACCCAATCAGTAGAGGATCTTAGAAGCAAACACTGAGGTCCCTTGATAAAGAAGGAATTCTGCCTCCAGACTGCAATGTAGAAATTCTGCCTGAGTCTCTAGCATTTGTACTCAAGACTGAAACAACAACTCTTCCCTGAATTTGCGGCCTGCTCGCCTGCCCTGCAAACCAGCCCCCATACTTGTGTGAACCAATCCCTTAAAATATCTCCCTCCCCTCCTCGTTCTGTTTCTCTGGAGAACCTTGTCTAATACAAACCCTTATGTCCATTAACTGATGACTGGATAAACAAAATGTGGTCTATCCATACAATGGAATATTATTCACCATAAAAAGAAATGAAGTACTGGTACATGCTACAACATGGATGAACTTTGATCACACTATGCTTAGTGAAAGAGGCCAGACACACAAAAGGGCATATATTGTATGATTCCATTTATATGAAATGTCCAGAATAGACAAATCCATAGAGATGGAAAGTAGATTAGTGGTTGACTAGGGCTGGGTGGGGGGGCTGGGTAAAGGCGGGAAGGAATGGGGAATGAGGGCTTAATGAGTATGAGGTTTCTTTTTGGGCTGATGAAAATGTTCTGGAACTAGGTAGTGGTGATGGCTACACAACTTTGTACTAAAACCACTGAATTGTACACTTTCAATGGGTGAATTGTATGGTATGTGAATTATATCTCAATACAGCCATTATTTTAAAAATAAATAATATCCATTACTTCCCCCCCCACTGTCCCCTCTACCAGGCGATGTAAGTGAGCCTGCCAATTGCCTGGCAACACCCACCATTGCCAAATTTCATGTTGCATTTTGCGACAGCACTTCTTTCCCTTCATTGCTAATTTAGACGATCATTTAAACCAGATTTCTTAAAAGAAAAATGCTAGGGCTGAGGGCTGCAGGGAACTCATTTGTTGGGATTTGACTCCAGGCCCAGATCCCACCTATGAATGGTATCGATGAGGGAGTGGCTCAGAACAGGATAGGCAAAAGTCTTTGTCTTCAGGGAGTTTAAAGTGAAAAGAGAAGGCCCAGAGGATATATGACTCATCTTGCGTTAGATGTCTTTTAAGGATTCAAATGGTCCAAACTGAGCATTCTATAGAAGGAAGCCATTCTTCCATTCTAGCTACTGATACTCCAGGCCTTGCCTATCACCTTCCACTAATTAGTGTTCTGCTTCTGGCCTGTCATCACTTGCTGCACATCTCTCTCCTTCCTCTCCTCTTCCTTTGTGTACGCCCACCACCTCTTACAAGTCAGCTCTTGCTGTAGTGGCTTTGAAAGCTCAAACTTATCCCCCACCCTTATATGGTTCAGAGGGGTTCTGAATGCTGATAAGGATGCCAAGAGCTTTTAGACCCATTCTCTGTTCCTACTGAGTTAGGGGTTAGAGGTAGGAGTGAGGAGTCAAATCTTGGGTCTCCTTTTCCTGCAGAACTTTGGTTCTGCAAGAAGAAGAAACTGACCCTGAACACTACCTAGCATTCAAAGGGCAGCCTAGAGGTATCACCTCAGATGACCAGACCTTGGGAGATCAGTATGCTGTTAAATGGGGAAGGGGTTCCCAGGGCCTCAGCAGTCTCAGACTATCATGTTTCCAGCATCTCTAGTCCTAAGAAGAGTAAAGGGCCAGAGTCTAGAGATTGCCTGAAAGAGGAAAGAGTGTTGGATGGAAACAGGGTAAATTCTCAGTTAGTTTCTCCCAGCAGGGCAAAAGGAACAGGGAAATAAGAGACCAGAGGATTTAGTGACCTAAAGTGCCAGAGAGTCCTAGGGCTGAAAATGGAGAAGCTAGTGGGTGAGGGGGATCAGATGGCAGGAAATTTACAGGTCTATACCAGCCTTGGGGGAATCCAAAAAAATTGTAACAGTAGGGGCTCAGCCTTCAAGGAGCTTATGGTAATTTACTTCTGGAATAAAAATTAATATACTTGAAATAATTTGTAATTTGGTACTAAGCTGTGGTATTAACAAAAAAAAGTGCCATAGGATCTCTGGGAAGGGATAGATCATGTGGGCTGGCATCCTCTGTGAGCTGAATGGCTGACTGAGGCACTGGGTGTCCCAAAGGACTTTATGCCCCCAGCTACAGTGGCTACAGCTTTTAGAGATGAGTGTGCCTGAGTCTTGCATCGTTTCCTGGAGGAAGTATGGGGGAGGAAGCTTTGTCATCATTGCCATTTGTCAATCACTATCATCATCAGGAAGAACAACAATAAACATTAATTGAGCATCCCTCCCAGAGTCTACACTTCTGTTGAGCAGGTGGGGCAAAAAGAAAGAGCTGAAAGACTAATTCAAGAGAGCATGTGCCAGTAGCACAAAGACTGGGAAAAGTGAGGGTTAGGGAGGTGAGAGAAGGTTTCTTAGAGGAGGTAGTGCTTGAGCTGACCCTTGAGGGAAGGTTAGGGTTTGGACTAAGGGGGAAAAGAGTGAAGGGGGCTTTAAATAGCCTCAACAAGGCACAGAGGTGGGAGTGAGCAAGGTAACTATGATTTACTGAGAAAACCTGCTGGACTGGAGCAAAGGATGTGTACCGTGGGCAATGAAGTTGGAGAGGCAAGTAGTGTGGTGATAGAGAGAGCCTTGAGTGGCAGACAGAAGGAGTTGTTTTGGAACAAAATAGGAAGGCCTTGTAGATTTGTGTATTTGGGGAGTGAGGAGGGTACAGGGAAGGAGGAGGAAAGGCTGAAAGAAAAACATTGGGATTCTGCATTCTTCCTAGCTTCAGTCTCCCATGCTAGGGTGACCACCTCATCCCACCTCAGCAAAGTGAGATGAGTTTTTCACCCTACATGAGATCTATCTTGAGAACAGGTTCTTAGAAGCCCGCAAGAAGTTCTGCACCACATATTGTTGGTGGAGAACCTTGTGCCAGTTGGAAAGTCCCAACCAGTCGACACTCTGTGTGACGTGTTCTCAGATAGTCTTGAACTGCCTTGTGAAACAGAAAGGGGGAAGGATCAGCCTGCTAACCCAGCTGCTAGCACAGGTGCAGACCAAGATGGGGTGTCTGCTTCAAGGTAACACCCTTTAGAAGTTGATCTCTCCCTGAATTAGCCCTGGAGAAAAGAGGCAGCAATTGCAGGAGTCTTAAAAACCAACACAACGACAAGACTGAGTCTTTCTTGAGGGCATCATTTTGGTGGCCGCCACTTAGCCACTCCGCACATAGATTCTTTTTACTGACTTCCCGCAGCAAAAGATTGGCACAGGCTCTGCTACATTTATGTTACCAGGAGGCAGATGTTTTCTCGTTTTCTCTGGGGTTTAGAATTATGCAAATGAAACCATGAAAACAAAAGCTCAGTGAGGTGGGGGAGGATTGCTCTTCAGAATCCAGGCAGTTTTCAGAGCTCTTTGAGACACCCCTCTCAGTTTTCACTAACAGCTCGCTTGGCTCCTCTCCGGTCTCTTTAGGATTTGGCACTTCTTCAGAACCTTCCAGCCAAAGACCTGAAAGTTCATTCTAAAGTTCCTATCCTGGCCTCATTTTGCAAGTAGAGAAATCAAGGCATAGAATGAGCTTTGAGTGTCTGTGGGCTGACCTTGAGTCTTGACACCCCCCCCCCCCCCTTTTCTGTCTTCCCTCTGCTGCATACAGTTTGGCCTGGTTAGGAAACTCTCTGACCCAATTGCCTCCCAGGTCTCTGCACCGCCCCCCGCCCCGTCCTATTGTCTTACCGTGATATTATCTGGAGGGCAATAGGACCTAGGGAGGTTCAACCCGGAGGCCGAGAGAGACACACCTGCGTAACCGCGTGGGTTGAGCGAGTGTGGGAGCAAGCTAAGTTAGGGAGGGCGGGGTAGAAGTGGGCGTTTCTGCTGCTCTTGGGGAAGAGGAAAGCTGTGGCTCCCCCCCGTTCCAGGGATTGTGGTGAGAAGTGCTTCTGAGGATTGGCCCAAGCCGCTTTTTGTCGCGCCTCTCCACGCCGAGCATCCTTCGCTGCCCGCCCTGCAACTCGCAGGCTGGTTTTGTTTGGCCTCAGCTGTCTCTCCCATTTCGTCCGCCCCGCCGTCGGTGCCTTAGTTCCCGAAGCAGCAGACCTCTGACAGCTGGAACTGCGGGCCAGGCAGGACCCCGGCAGCAGAGGGCGCCCAAAAGTTTGGGGACATCTGCCCGGCTGGCTTGGCGCCCCGCACGTCGTGCATCTCGATAGGAAAGTTTCTCCGTGGAAAAGAAGCCCCTCCACCTTTCTCTTGATCCTGGAGCGCGCGCGCACGCGCTCTGCTCCTCTCCCCCGAGACTGAGCTCGGGGACAGGGTTGTGGCATTTCCTCTGCCCCTGGCCCGGCTGCCTTGGGGGCAGAGCTTGGGGAATCCGAAGAGCCATCCTGAGAACCCTCGACGCAGCGCGGATCCTGAGAGCGCCGGCGAGCGGGCGAGCTAAGAGCCACAGCCTAGCAATACCTAGGGTAGCTAGGCACTAAACTGAATCCGCGAAAGGACGCTCAGGCTGCGCCCCCTCTTCTTCTCTGGCTCAGTTCTCGGCTGGTTTGAGAGGGCACTGCTGCTGAGTGTTGGTGCCAGGACAGCGTGGCTACCCCCCTACCTTGGGGTCTGCAAAAGAAGCCGCCACGGGAACAGCTGTTCCCATGGCCCTTCACGAGCCTGGAATTGGACTCTGGACTAGGCGCTAAGATGATTGCTTTTGTCTTGTCCAAGTTTCACATCACGTATATTGACGAATCCTGGACCAATCGAGAGTCAAGTTCAAAGTGGTACTGCTGAGCTCTCCATCCCAGACTCCAAGTCTAATTTGAGACTAGAAGAGAGGAGTCCCCTGCTCTAACTAGTAGATTCTGGAATCGGACTTGACTGCTCTCTTCGCTAATACTTGGACTGCAGTGGCTACAGAGTTTAATTGGGGGGTAGGGGTGGGGGATGCTCTGAAGACCAGACCACGACGCTCAGAACCTCGACAATGGACCGCGTTTATGAAATTCCTGAGGAGCCAAGCCTGGATCCCATTTCATCTCTGGAGGAAAATGTCATCCGTGGGGCCAACCCCCGATTTACCTTTCCATTTGGCATCCTCTTCTCCACCTTTTTGTACTGTGGGGAGGCTGCGTCTGCTTTGTACATGGTTAGAATCTATCGAAAGAATAGTGAAACCTACTGGATGGCATACACCTTTTCCTTTTTTATGTTTTCATCCATTATGGTCCAGTTGACCCTCATTTTTGTCCACAGAGATCTGGCCAAAGACAAGCCGCTATCACTGTTTATGCATCTAATCCTCTTGGGACCCGTTATCAGGTGAGCAACTTTTTAATCTCTTCCTTCCCCGCCCCCCAGATTTGTGCAGAGAAAGATGAAGCTAATATGTACAAGACTGGTACTGTGCCTCTAATCTACTCAATTCTCCCATTCCTTCCCACTCTTGGCTTCCCTGTTTACCATCCAAAAAAATCTTATCTGAAATCTTAAATGCCACCACAATGAACATGTGGCATGTACCTGTGTTCCAAAACTAGGTATGGTATCATTGGTAAGACCTCATTAGACAATGTTTACTATCTGGAATTGGGTTTTGAAAATTGGTATGGGACCAACTGATGTGGTCACTGTGCACACAGGCGGGAGCTTCAGCGTGTGTTATTTGGACTTTGCCTTTTAGATGCTCTGTAAATTGGAGGAAAGTTCCTTCCCCACTTCATCCCATCTCACATTCAGTTTCTTTACCCTGAGCTGCTTGGACTGGTGCTGCCACCATTTTCAAATTTTCCAGAGTTATTTGTCATCTAGAAAATATGTTAAGCCATCTGTGGTCATCTGGTACCCCAACCCATTGTACTTCATTATTGTCTTTCAGTTCATCCACCTCCTGTTTATCTCTTTGTATCTTTCTGCAATAAAGGCACACAGTTAGAAGGGGGCAAAGAAAGACAGTCCACCTCTCCATCTGGATGCTGTAGCACAATGTAATAGTACCAAGTCTTTCCATTCAGATTGCCTTTAAGGGGCAAGGGTGTGCCTTATCCTAGGGAGACAGGTATTTGTGTCACCATCTCATTTGAATGCTATGACATTTTCAAGATAGGGAGATGTTGCAAAATTTATGAGTTCAGGAGGAAGGAATGGACCAAGTTTGTCTTTATTGCAAGAGAGGCAGAAACCTGCAGTCAGCTGAGGAATGTGGGTCAGAGTGTTGATATTGTAATTGTAATGGGGAGATAGTTCATTCTTAGAGAAGTAAACACAGTCTGAAACTAAGGATGAAACTTCTCCCTTAGAATTTTTTTATCAATATATGTGTAAATGGGGAGGAATCGATTAGGCTCCATCAGAGAAAATATGGGCTATCAACAGAAACAGTGGCCTGGAATTCAGAAGTCCTGGAATCTAGTCCTCCCTCTGTCATTGACTAGTTGCATGACCTTCGTGAAATCTCTGAAGATGCCTTGGACCTCAGTTCCTTCATCTGTAAAATAAATGAGTTGGGCTAGATCACGGGTCTCAAATTCAGACGCTTACAGGGCCAGGCAGGTGTCATAAATGAGTGAAGCAGGCCAAGTATGAAAGAAACAGTAGCTTCATCTGTGATGATAAATGAAAATGGAGTCTCAGTGTTAGAGAAATGACGGAGAGTCGTGAGTGCAGTGGCAGTCCGGAGGCCACACGATCTGCCTGCAGGAGGCAGCTGCCCTGCAGCTCCAGCCCATTGGCTCCCTGTTGGATGTCAGACCCAGTATTGCCAGATCCCCCAACTTTTCAGGAGTGTCTTCCAAGACAGGATTTCATGTGAAATATCATGATTTTAAATTTTGGCGACTAATTTAAAACACAGTATGGGCCAAACAAACCACAGCTGTTGGTCAGATGTGACTCAACTGGCCTATATGCAACCTTGGGACTAGGTTAATCTAAAGATCCTTTCCAGTTCTAAATCTTTGAAGTTAAGCTGTAAAGGGAAGACCTCATCTTGCACTTGGAACCAGGAAATTTAGAGATGTCACTAAGGAACAAGGAAACCATTCTTCTTTCCCTTTTCAAATGCAGTATATTGAGTTAACAGATCGAGCACTCTCAAGAAGCAAATATCAGCAAAAACCGCCCCAGTCCCCAGTTTTGACTTCCCTTATTTGCTTTGTGGCCTCCCAAGCCATCCTTGATTTGGACCCTCCATATGGAGTGTTGAGTACCGTATTTCATTTTTGTCATTTAGCTTCCATTAGAAATGATTTGGCGGGGGCGGCCCCGTGGTCGAGTGGTTGAGTTTGCGCGCTCCGCTTCAGTGGCCCAGGGTTTTTCTGGTTCGGACCCTGGGCACGGACATGGCACCGCTCATCAGGCCACGCTGGGGCGGCGTCCCACATAGCACAACCAGAGGCACTCACAACTAGAATATACAACTGTATACTGGGGAGCTTTGGGGAGAAGAAGAAAAAAAAATGATTGGAAAGCGTTTATAATCTCTGTCAGCTAACCCCATAGCAGGGAAAAAATAGTTAAAAGCTCATAAACTATGTCCTTGATAGGCTTATTTTCAAGGCAAATTACATTTTAGCTAGGTAGGAACTTGATGAGTGCTGCTAAGCACGTGAAAGTATTTGGAGGGCCTGGCTCTCTTTTATGAAATGCAAAGATACTTCTGGAAATAAAAATGTACTCTAATTTACTGAAGTTTATAAGCATAGCAAACACCCTTACTTAAACCAGTAAGTAACCGTAAGAATAGAAGCATAAAGAATGCTTCATGCCATTGCTTCCCCCAGTATTTTATTCGCAGTATCATTGATGGGCTTGGACTGAAATCTAAAATCTTTTGTTGGAAATGCGTTTATGCATTTTCCCTGAACAGGAAGAGAATGTCACTTTTTTCTTCTCGGTTCTCTTTTTCCATCTTTTTCTGTCCTGGGTTTTAGAGTTTGTCCCTAGAAAGTGAATGTTTCCAACTACATGCTTCAGGCTGGCACGCAGGCAACGATCTCAGAGGGATCGTATGGAGGTTGGCAACCGGACTTGTTCTAAACCTTCCTTTTAGGAGCCAAAGGCCTAGAGAGCAAATAAATCTCTGAGCTTGTCTTTGGTCTATTTTTCTGTTACGTTGCGGTTATTATTATCCCCTCCTCCCGTCATTTCTCACCCTATATTCTTTTCTTCCTTCCCACTCTTTTCATTTACTCAGCAAATATCTATCAAATTCCCACTATGTGCTAAGAGCTTTGGGCAGGATAAATACAACCCCTGCCCCTGTCTATCAGGAAAAATGTCTTAATTTTCATCACGTGTGTTGTTACTTGTCATAAGAAATAGTCCACAATTTCCATTCAAGATGAATGGGGGAAGTAGTAACTCAGATGTTCCAAAACAAGATGTTCTACAAGATGTTGTTTCTCTTCTGTTCAACACATCAGAACTACTAACGACTTCTTATTGATATGGAGGAGATGGGAGGGGTACAGCAGGAAATGTGGTCTTAACACTATTTCAAGGGTGATAGGCTCTCATAAGGATGTTTTACTCTTTGTAAAGAAAGAATCAAGTTTAAAAGGCTGTTGTTCCTAAACAGATCAAGAGGCCCCAAAAGAAACCTTTCGAGAGATCTTTTGCAGTTCCCTAGGTATATAGCATATTTGGTTGTGAGTTGTCAAGTCTTTTAAGTACTTTTGTTGCTAAATGGCTTTCCTGTGTATGAGAAGTTTTTTCCAGATCTCCTCCAAGACTTTTTGGCTGAGACAGTCATAGTTGTCACTCTCTCTTGAAAAAACAGAGCTCAAAAGCCCCAATTATGGAGCGGAATGCCTTGAATAGGGAATGCTTTACCTCAGAAACTGGAGGTGTTATGAAAACCAGGGCCTTCTGGAACCTTCATCTTTCTCAACACATTATTTACTTAATATCTTTGTGTTCAAGGCACTTGTCTACTACAGGCTCATTCTTAAGGAGACAAAGCAATTCCTTAAGTACCCAAAGAAATACTTCCCAAATGGTGTTCTTAGGTCAGTCAATGACCAACCAAACAAAAAAGGATTTGGGCTCAAGTAACTTGTAGAAGGCACAACCAACTCTTTGACTCATGTGAAATGAGTAGGATGGGAGAGAAATGGCAAAACATAACACAGCCTCCCCGAGCTATTTTTCCCCCTCACTACAAGCTCCCCTCCCAAGACAGCTTTAGTTAAGTTCCCATGATGCTTTACTTCTGCAGATGTTTGGAGGCCATGATTAAGTACCTCACACTGTGGAAGAAAGAGGGGCAGGAGGAGCCCTATGTCAGCCTCACCAGAAAGAAGATGCTAATAAATGGCGAGGAGGTGCTGATAGAATGGGAGGTGGGCCACTCCATCCGGACCCTGGCTATGCACCGCAATGCCTACAAACGTATGTCACAGATCCAAGCCTTTCTGGGCTCAGTGCCCCAGCTGACCTATCAGCTCTATGTGACCCTGATCTCTGCAGAGGTTCCCCTGGGTAGAGGTGAGTTGGGTCAGGAGACGGGAGGGCTCCACTTAAATCAATGGTCTTAGAAATCGGAACTTGAGCTGTCCAATACACTGGCCACTAGCTTCAGGTGGCTATTAAATTAAAATAAAATAAAAAGTTTACTTCCTCAGGCATACTACCCATGTTTCAAGTGTTCGATAGCCTCATATGGCCGGTGGTTACTGTGTTGGACACCACAGGTATTACGGAACGTTTTCATCATTGCAGAAAGTTCTGTTGGACAGTATGGGTAGATAATCAAAAAACTTAGAGAGCCAGACATCTCACGCCTGCCAGATTTCGTAAACTGGGGTAAGCTATATAGACTAAAATTGCCACAGATAAACCCTCTCTGGGTCCAGAAGCAGCTAGTAAAACCAGCAACCAGTAGGACATTTTCCCTAGTCCAGAGAGTTTAAATTGTACTGAGGTTGTTTCTTTGTTTGTTTTGGTTTGGGGATGGCTGTCTTTAAATAAGAGGCTCACAAATATTACTGATCATGAGAAAATATATTACTGGGTGAAAGCCTCTTTTTAAAATTACATTTCTTCCTTGGACCTGCAGCAATCTGATTGTAGGGAGGCCAGGAATCTGTATTTTTTGAAAGTACCCCAGTTGATTCTGATCAGCCACATTTGGGAACCACTGATTTAATCACTCCTCCCAACTCCAGTGGGGAGAAAGAAAAGGGGTGTGGAATGAGTACTGATGAGACTCAGGCCTGGTCCCAGTTCCGACCTTCTCTATGATCTTTGGAGGAAGTTACCAAAGAGGTGCCTGTCTTAATTTCCCCCCAAATTAAGAAGGATCTTGTAAAAGAGGGACCCTGAGGTGAGTAAGACCTCTAGCAGAGGATGAAATGTCTCCTCAAAGTCGAGATGAGCTAGTGTTCATGAGTTTTAACAGCCTGAGATTAACTTCATCTGCTTGGGCTGGAGCTGGTACAGCTGTGGGTCCAGCTTTGGACCATTTCCTTATTATTAGGTGCTGACTCTGCTTGGCAAAGGCCCATCTCTCACATAATTGTAAAGAGGAAATTTGCCCTCTTTTCTCTTTTTCTCCATTAAGAATTGTTCATGAAGTTGGTTTTGAAACTTTTCACATACCTAGAATTGACAGTAGTGAAAGGAGAAAAATCTCTGGAAATGAGGATGCTTTTCCCCTTGAGAATTTTGAGGATCATCAAATCACATAATTAAAATATGTATACATTATAAAGGTAATACATGCACAAACCGATTGCCCTACAGCTAATTGTATATGCACAGAAAATTTCTAGAAAGATATGCAAGAAAAATGAGGAGTCAGCTGACTTTTGCTTTTTGCTTTATACCCTTCTATGTGGTTTGAAATTTTTACCATGATTGGGGGCCGGCCTGGTGGTGCAGTGGTTAAGTGTGCACGTTCCGCTTTGGTGGCTCGGGGTTCGCTGGTTTGGATTCCGGATGCGGACAAGGCATGGCTTGGCAAGCCATGCTGTGGTAGGCATCCCACATATAAAGTAAAGGAAGATGGGCATGGATGTTCACTCAGCATCAGTCTTCCTCGGCAAAAAGAAGAGGATTGGCGGCAGATGTTAGCTCAGGGCTAATCTTCCTCAAAAAAAAAAAAAAAGAAAGAAATTTTTACCATGATCATGTATTAGTATTTTTGGTCCTTATTTTTTAGTTATAAAAATCAGATATGGCTATGGTAAAGATTCAAAACCATACAGAATATATATAAAATAGGAGATGTAATCTCACTCCCCAAAGGTAATCTCTATTGACCATTCAGTATCTATCCTTCCAGACTTCTTTTTACTATGCAAATATAAACATACGTACAACATATATGTATGTATATTTTTGTCAAAAAAGAACTGTATTAAACTTTCTGTTCAGCAACATGCCTTTTCCAAAAGTATGCCAATATATCTTTCTTCAACGGTTATTTATATATACATATAGTAATAATCATGCTATATAGTATATATTTCCCTCCTATGAATTGGACCTTCTTTCTTATTTCCCTAGTCTTCTATTGGTAGGATTTCAGTTTGTTTCTAATTTTTCCATGCAGAAAAGTTTTTTTCTAATTGCAAAGTATGCTCTAGTGAACATCTTTATCCGTATCTGTGGGCTGGAATGAGACTCCGTAGGATAAAACTCTTAGCAACAGAATTGCTGGGTGAAAGCATCTGCATGTTTAGAATTTTATCTGCACTCCAAGTAACCCTCCCAAACGTTGTATGACTTTATATTCCCATCAACGGTGTATGAATATGCCTATTTCTTCATATCGTAAACTAAATATTTTTTAGTTGTATAATTATAAAATGACTGATTGTTTTAATAATTTGCTCCCTTGAATTATGAATGAAGCTGAGCATCTTTTCATGTTTGGTCATTCTGTGTGTTCTTTATATTGCTTATTTATATATTTTACCCACTTTTTCTAGTGACGTCTTTTTCTCATTAATTTGTAGGAGCTATTTACTTATTTTGACTATTAATCTTTTCCCTGCTGTGGATGAGTGTAAATGTATACATTTGTATAATGTTGTGTGTGTGTGTACATACTCACATATTTTAGATGTGTATGTACATGTCATACCTGTAACACAGGTCCAACACACATGTGCAACACAGTATATGAATATATAAAATATACTTGTGGTATCTTCTGGCATTCTAAAGTATTAAACTTTTGTGTATTCAAATTCTTTATTGCTTTTAGATCTTGTACCTTTCTTGCAAAGGCCTTTCACAACTCATATCTGGTAGAGTGGTTTAGCCTGATCTTCCAGATGGGTTAATTTCCACAATCAATTTGTCAATTCTCCCACCAAAAAATAAAACAAAGCAAAACAATAACAACAACAAAGGAAAAAACATTGCATTGAGACTCTGATTGGGATTGCATTAAATTATTTAGGTTATTTTGGAGGGAATTTATATTTTTACAGGATCAATCAATTTCATATTAGAAGATAATAAACCTTTCCACTTGATTAAATATTTTTAAACCACTTTCTTGAAGTATGATTGCTATACAAAAAGCTATACCTATTTAATGTATACAGCTTGATGTGTTTGGAGATAAGTATATATCCATGGAACATCACCACGATCTATGGCATAAATGTGCAAGAGCTCTAGCAAGAAAACTATACAACTTTACTGAAGTGTACTTCATTAAATATTTTTTAATATACTCACTAAAGTTGTATAGTTTTCTTGCTAGAGGTCTTGCACGTTTTCGTAAGGCTTATTTCTTAGTTCTATCAGTTTTAAAATCACCTGATTTCCTAAGTGTCAAGGTAGTGCCTAAATAAAGTAAATACATCTACTATGCTTCTGGAAATAGGGAATGATGATGATGATGATGATAGGAGCTAGCAGATAGCATTTGCCATGTTCCAGGCGTTTCTCTAAGCCCTTTATGTGTAATTATTTCATTGAATTTCACAACAACCCTATGAGATAATTATTATTATTATCCGCATTTTACAAATGAGGAAACAGAGGCACTGAGAGGTTAAGCAAGTTCCCCAAGGTTCCATAAGTAATAGATGGCAAAGATTGAGTTGGAGTCCAGGATGTCTGCCTTCGGAGACGTGTTTCTAACAATATCACTATACAAAGGATGTAAGGGAAGTTTTCTCAAAGACCTTGTTTTCAATTCTTCAGTAATTTTTCCTATTAAAAACTTTCTGACAACACTGTCTCTTTTAAGATTTTGTCAATAACTTTTTGATTTAGTTTTCTTCATTTCACCCACTCTCTTGTCTTCTCCTTACTACCCTTTTTCTAGTCCCTTTTTCTCTTGGAGGCCATCTGGATCAGCATAGATGAGCATATTCACTAGCAGCATTATGATCTCTTATGACATGAGTCTATTTGTAGGGAGACAGATGGAAGGTGTTTTTACATTTATTGGAAGCATCAGGCTTTCTTCCTTTTATTACACTACCATCAATAAATGAGTTCTAATTTAAGGGAAAGCATCACGACACTTGGCTAGATGTACGTATGTTCTGACATTGCCAACTCCACAAGGAGCATCAGCTCGTGAGGCTTGAGATTGAGAGTGGTTTATAAAGCTAAGAGTTTATCAAATCATTATGTTGTACACCTTAAACTAATACAATATTATATGTCAATTGTATCTCAATAAAACTAGAAAAAAATAAAAATAAAGCTAAGAGTAGCCACTTTAACAGAGTCTCCCTAACAAACACATAGATAAGGAGAACAGATTAGTGGGTACCAGAGAGGAAGGGGGTGAGGGGAGGGCAAAATACATCAAAGAGCACACATGTTTGGTGACAGGTAAAAACTAGACTTGATGGTGAACACAATGCAGACTATACAGAAACTGATGTATAATAATGTACACTTGGAATTTACACAATGTGACATGTACATATGTACATATTGAGGCCAATATGCCCTCAATAAAATAATTTTTTAAAAAACTCTTAAAAAAGAAGTCTCCCATTCCAGTCTCTGAGATTCCAACACTCTACTTAGAGCGGAAAAAGATCTCAAAAAACAAAGCCGTGCTTCCTTTTGGGTTTCCATGGGAGGGTCTTTGCTTTTCTTGCACATTGCTTTGACATCTCCACGGCTCTAGTTCCCTGGATTCAGCATTTTTATGGGAACAGAAAGCTCCAGCTTTCCTTTTGGATGAGTACCTCTCGGGCCTCCCACTTTCCTTGAGAGCACTAGATTTTTCTTAGTGATCGGTATCCTTCGATACAAAGGAAGAAAACGAAAAGGCCACTCTGATCTATAGTTGAGACCTAGTATAGCAGATTAGGGAGCATCCTGACCCTTCAAGGCCTCTGCTCTAACATAGAATGTTATGGAGATCATGGGCTAGGAAACAGAGCTTTTAAGCTTTTAAATCACTCTGCTGAAATTTGAGGATTCCTAAGGTATACCAAAGCATTGGGGTGCTGAACTGACATTGCTGGTATTAATACAAGCAACTCTAGAGTATCTCACTGAATTGGGAAATTGAGGCACACAGATATTCAGTGACTTGCACAAGCTCCCGTGCAGCTGAACCAAGGGCTTCTAATCATAGGTATTTTATGCTGCCTTTCTAAACCCAGGATTCTCCAGTAAGGCCACAAACACTTATTGAGCACATACTATATTCCAGGCAGTGTGCTGTGCTCTGGGGACACAGCAGTGAACAAAATAGACATGAGCCCTTCTGCTCCCATGGAATTCCCAGTGCACATCTTGACACATTCTAGAAGCACACACAAACAAGATTAGTTCCTTGAGGAAGATATACATCAAAGAAGGGACTTATATTACCAGAGGCGTTCTCTGAGACTGGAGTTTTTCAGATTGAGTTCTTTCTGCCTCCATTGTTGACTTAGAAGCTTGTTTCATCAGGTAGATGCCGCCCTCTCCCTTTATGTTAGTGACCTCTCAATGCTAGTTCTGAGACCCACTCTTTTAAAAAAAAAAACTCATTTTGTACATTTATCTGATTATTAAAGTATTACAGTGTATGTTCATCATGGGAAATTTGGAAAATTAGAGAAATGTGGAAAAAAGATTGAAAAAACTGGTATAATCCCTATCATAAAAATATATATTTTAGTTTATTTCTCTCTGTGCATGCTTTTTGTTTACATAGCTGTGATCACACATGAGTTTGCTCTTAACTGGGGCCCTCAAATCTCTCCTATAATCTCTCTGGACCTCTGGGTCAGAGTCCAAGTTTCACCACCAACATTGACTGATTGCTTATTTTTTCTGTTTTTTTTTCCTTACAGCTGTGCTAATGGTCTTTTCCCTGATATCTGTCACCTATGGGGCTACCCTCTGCAATATGTTGGCTATCCAGATCAAGTACGATGAATACAAGATTCGCCTTGGGCCGCTAGAAGTCCTCTGCATCACCATCTGGCGGACATTGGAGATCACTTCCCGCCTCATGATTCTGGTGCTCTTCTCAGCCACCTTGAAACTGAAGGCTGTGCCCTTCTTATTGCTCAACTTCCTGATCATCCTCTTTGAGCCTTGGGTTAAGTTCTGGAGGAGCGGTGGCCAGATGCCCAATAATATTGAGAAGAATTTCAGCAGGGTCGGCACCCTAGTGGTGCTGATTTCCATTACTGTCCTCTATGCTGGCATCAACTTCTCTTGCTGGTCAGCCTTACAGTTGAAGTTGGCAGACAGGGACCTTGTTGACAAAGGTCAGAACTGGGGACATATGGGCCTGCACTATAGTGTGAGATTGGTAGAGAATGTGATCATGGTCTTGGTTTTTAAGTTCTTTGGAGTGAAAGTGTTACTGAATTACTGTCATTCCTTGATTGCCTTGCAGCTCATTATTGCTTATCTAATTTCCATTGGCTTCATGCTCCTCTTCTTCCAGTACTTGCATCCATTGCGCTCGCTCTTCACCCACAATGTAGTGGACTACCTCCACTGTGTCTGCTGCCACCGGCATCCTCGGGGCAGGGTTGAGGACTTGGAGCCATCCGTGGATGCTGAAACAAGGCAAAGCATTGTCTGATTCTGTCTCCTGGGTATTTTGGGATCGGTTGGGGGTTGCCAAGTACAACTGCAAAATTGAAGGAGAGGACAAGGCTCATGGGTGAATACCCACCAGGTATTCTGGTAAAGCCTGTCAGAAGAAAGAGCAGCCCCCAAATAAGTTTTATTTCCTTAAGATTGACTACTATGTTTGGACACCAGGTATAGCCACTATATACCTGGAAGGGTCAGGTTCATACTCCTCCCACCCAGGGCAGCTATCTGGCTGCCCTGTGGGATAACTTACCTCCATGTACCTAAGACTCCTCTGACCTTCTAGCTCTGCTTATTTGCTTGAGGCGTTACTGAGCTTTCCCGGGGCTAAGCTGAAGGCGCGGAATCCCACCAGAATATATCCTGACTGATCAGAGGATGTGACCACTAACTGGCTATGGGACCTTGCCAGGAACAGTCTGATTAATGTGGAACCTGTAACTATAAGCATGGCTGAGGTCTTTTAATTCCAATGGGAAACTCTGGTTAAGAAGAAAACTCCCACTATTAAAAGAGCTGCTCCCCAAACGAGTTAGCTCTCCATTAGGGTATTACTAGTGATCATTCATCAGGGGCCTCTCTTTTCACTCTGAGGAGGGGCTGCAGAGTGGGATTCCTTCAGGGCCTAAGCCAGAATGACTCTCCTTCTCAGGGACCTGCATGGGCCTCCAGCTTGTTGAGTGGAGTGCTTGAGTAAACTCTCTCACTTTGTGTCTCATTATCAGGGATTCCCTCCAACCCAGCTTTTCTATTCTCTTGGCATTTTACTACTTGATGTGGACCTCAGAGAAGCTGAACTGTAGTCAGAAATGTTTCTAATGTGTAGAAGAAGTGAAGATTGCTCTGTGTCTGCTCCTGTCCTGAGTATTTTGTTGTTTTGGTTTTTTAGGGGAGAGAGAAGCTGGGACATCAACTTCATGCTGTTTGGGGTTGGGACGGTGGCTAATACTCCAAGGCAGAGTGAAAGCAGAGGAAGGAAACCAGATGTCATTAAAGCATTGTCTGTACTGGTTTCTGCCCATAGGATTTTATTTTCTAATAAGGAGCGTATGTTTATAAACCTTCTGCTCATTCCCACACCCCCAGCGGATGAATGCAGTTCTCCCTTTCTCAAGTATCTCCATATTTACGTCTCATATAAGTTGGGCATTTTGATGGGGATGTCGGCTGGATACTTCTGAGGTAACCAAGGAATTGAAGATACTATGGCCATTGCCTATTGGGACCAAGTATCCCAGCATTTACCTACTGCTTGCTCCTCAGAAACCAGGAAAGTGAGAAGAACTCCTGGTAGCATGTGCCAGTTGTGACCGCCACAATGCTGCAAGGAAGTGTGAACAATCTGCCCTAAGGCTTCTCATCCTCATCCAGTTTTACTCTTGGGGTCCTGCTAAGAATTTATCCTTAGCCATTTCCCTTCCTCTTATCCAGTGTCAGGATGTTATGTTGGGGGAGCTCCCTCTTCTAAGTAGCAGGGATATTAGCTAGGATTGTCCTATTTCCTGGCAGGTCAAGTGTGGCTTTCCCATCCTCAGCCACTGTTTGGGGCTAAAAAGATTGGATATTTAATTTGTGGGAGAGTGAATTGACTTGCTTTGGAACGGTGGAGATTTCCTTTTTTAACCCAACTCCCTCATTCCATCTTTCATGTTGAAGAAGAGACTTAGGTTGTTGTCATGAAAAGCTCACACTGCCGTCTTCTGACTGTGTATTTCAGAATTTGAAAGAAATGATCTATCAGACCTCCAGAAGAACACACCACCTCTTTGGAATTCAAGCAGGAGTTTCTCCCCAGTGGTTAATATGCCCTCCATTAAGAGCAAGAGCAGTGTAGAACTATAATTTGGTCCATAAAAGCCATGTGAATCAGCTACTTAAGGGGTGGGTGCTTTGGGAACATAGAGACACACACTGAGAGAGGCAAGCCAATTAGAGCTGGAGTGGAGATATGCAGGGCAGAAAAGTGTGCCTTGGTCCTGGACCAGGCATATTTTTGCCCACTTATCCTCCCCAGCCTCGGTGACTTAGTATCCCAGGAACGCAGGAAGTTTAGGGCGAGGGTGTGGAGCAGCTTCTGACCGGAAAAACCTGCTGCCCTTGCCCAAGGAGAAGAGACGCTAGTGACACATTATGCAAATGAACCCTCAGAACCTCCTATAGGTGGTGGCCTTTCTGTTCCACAGCAAGCTTCTAGATACAAAGGAGAAGGAATTGTGGAATATGGTGGTAGGGCAGAGAAAGTGCCCCCTTCCATCTGCGAACACTTCTTTAACTGACTACTTTCTTTTTACTCTTTGAAATCTTAAAGCAACATAGGGTATTTGTATAGGGGCATGTCTTACTGAGTGGGAGAGGAGGCAGAGATGGGGCCAGCAAGTGGGTTTGGAGAAAGGAAGGCAGAAACATGAAGTTTGGAGGAAAGAGGCCATTGTAACAACAGATATTGTTAAGGAAATGTATTAAATAAACTATTAGCTGTCAATTTTATTTGCTCCATAAGTGCTTTGAAGACTATGGACATAGAACATACATACAGTGAGACACTGTAGGAGAATTGAACAATAGCTAATATTTATGAACACTCACTACATGTCTGGCATGGTGCTTTATATGCATTATTTCATTCAGTCTTCAAAACAACTCTCATAAGGGTAGGTACTTTTATTCCCAATTCTACAGATGAAGATTCTAAGGCATAGAAAAGTGAAGTGAGCTGCCCAAGGTCACAGCTAGTGTCAGAGCCAGGATTCAGTCTCAGGCGCTCTAGCTCCAGAGCTTACACTCTTAATCGTGACACAAACCTCTAAGTCCTCTTAGGTCCTCTGTGAAATTATTTTAATGTTACTAGTTTCTGGAATATTTTTTGGGCTATGGCTGAGTTCATATCAAGCATTCCTTCCCACAAACACTCCTTATCAGGGGACACCACTCAGTTCACTCAGAGAAGGGTGAAGTCCTAAAAAGCCTGAGATGAAAACTGAGTGTGTGCTCACATGTACTTGTAGGTTGGTATTGAGAGGGTGGGAGGGTTGGGAAGTTTGTGTGTGGGGAGGATGGTAGAGGAACCCATTTCCTTTCTAGTTTCAGGATTTCGTCTCCTGAATGTTCTTAAACATATACCTTCCAGACCCTGGTTGTGGGAATAAAACTGAAGGGAGCAATGCCCACTCAGGTTTGCGTGAATTCCCTCCTCAGACACAACCATCAGAGCGGGGCAGGGGCGTGCCAAAGCTCGTTCCCTTATACTTCCTCTTGCCAGCACTGCTCTTACTCCCTCTGAGAAGCTGACTCCTAGTTCTAGAGCAGACCAGGGGATGTGGATGGTCAGCAATAATGCCCCTCTCCCAGCTGTCACAGTCCTGAGAGCCTAGGTTGACCTAGGCTCTCTTTCAGCTAGCCCCCTCAATACCTGTCCCTCACAGGATCATGGTTCTTAGCATTACAGAGTTGGTTGCTACTTCCAAGAGTGAGGGTGGGGTGGGAGGCTGTAGGATAGGGTACTCACCAGGACATTCCATCTAAACCCATGGGGCTCTGTCTCTGAGGAGTCCTCAGGTCACTTGAATAAGATCAGTTGACTCTGGACCCTCCAGAATATTTATCTACCCAAGAATGGGGATCCTCATACTCTGAAGCTTTTGTTATTGGGCTTTATTCCTATCTTCAGGAGACATATATGCCCATAATCGTATCATGCCTTTCCTCCCGAAGGACTGGCACCATCAGTCACATGCTTTAGACCTTAGAGCCTGTGGAGTACACAGGGAAAGTATGTGTTATGAGCCTGGGCAACAATGCATATACCATGTGAAACAGAAGTAGCAAGGCCTACCTGTGGGGGATGTGAGAACTAAGTGTGAAAAGAACACATTTCCACATGTGGAAATAATAACTACCATCTGAATAGCACTTTATAATATTCAAGGCACATTTGCACGCCTTAGCTGTGTTACCGATGTATCATTGTTAGGACAAGCCCTCTGAGTTGTACATGTGGATTTGCATTGTTCTAACCTTCAATTCATCAAACAATTATTAAACTCTTGTTTTGTACCAGGAAAACCTATGTGGATATCTTAAAGCTATGGAGATGTTGAAAGACTCAAAAGCGAATCCCAAATATGGAGTATAAGTGACATTGGAGATAAACAGCGCTCTCATACATTACTGCTATGAGAGTAATGTATTGGCACAAATTTTTAGAAGGCAGTTTGTCAGTACTTGTCAGAATTAAATGAGCATACTTTTTGTCTCAGAATTTTAACCTCTAGGAATTTTTCCTAGACACAATTGTGCAAAGAGATATGTATAGGAATGTTCATTGCAGCACTGTTTATAACAGCGAAAAACTGGTAACAACTTAAGTTTCCATCTAGAGGGAAACAATTAAATTCTGGCAATTCCATAATTAGAATACTGTGCAACCATTCAGAAGAGTGGGGTAGATGTGTGCAGCATTGCTGAGTGGAAAAAGGAAGCTGTAGAACAAAATGTGTAGGATGAGGTTATGAAGAATTACTCAGAATTTGAAAGCAAGGGTGTGATCCGAAGAATTAGGCCCCTCTCCCCAAAAGATCTCCACATCCCAGTCCTCGGAACTGTGAATATGTGAGGTGACGTGGCAAGGGGGAAGCAAGGGGAGAATCGACGTTGCTAATCAGTTGACCTTGAAATGGGGAATTCTCCTTGATCATCTGGGTGTGCTCGATGTAATCATAAAGGTCCGTATAAGAGAGAGGGTGATGTGAAGATGAAGGCAGGGATATTTGAAGATGTTACACTGTTGGCTTCAAAGAGGGAGGAAGCGGCCACAGACTGAGAAATGCAGCTCTAGAAGCTATAAAAAGCAGGGAGGTAGGCTCTCCCCCAGAGGCTCCGGAGGGAGCAGGGCCCTGCTGACACCTTGATCTCTGCCCGGTGAAACTGGTGTTGGACTTCTGACCTCCAGAACTGTAAGAAGAGGTATTCTTTTTTTCGTTTTTTTTTTTTTTTAAACCACCTAGTTTGTGGTAATTTGTTATAGCAGCACTAGGAAACTAATACAAAAGGGAAAGATGATTACTTGAGGCTTTAATGTCACGTTAAGAGCAGTGTCATCTGATTCTTCTGGTCTAACGAATTATAATTTAACACAATTGATTGGGGTCCAGTCATTTTGCAATTCTGTAAAACTGCTAAGATGCAATGGTAATTATTTTCTGTCCACCTAAAGAAGACACCACGATTTCAGTTATTGCCCTGTAGGACATTAATCAGCTTTGATTCTAACTTAGCAATCTTATTTAGCATTTCTTTGTTTTTTTAGTTTTTTTGCTGAGGAAGATTCACCCTGAGCTAACATCTGTTGCCAATCTTCCTCTTTTTACCTGAGAAAGATTCACCCTGAGCTAACATCTGTGCCAATCTTCCTCTATTTTGTATGTGGGTTGCTGCCACAGCATGACCGCCAATGAGTGGTGTAGGTCCCCGCTCAGAAACTGGGCCCAGTCCTCCAAAGCAGAGTGCACAGAAATTAACCACTAGGCCATGGGGCCGGCCCCCAGCATTCTTTTGTTTTTTAACTGACTATATATAAAATGCCAGTTCTCATATCCTCTTTTGAGTTAACTGCCATACTCCTGGCTTCCTCCTTCATGATTTAAAATTAAACTTTGACACATGCTCACTCTCTATTTGTGTAAAACTTTTTTTTTTTTTTAACATTTTGAGAATCATACTTTAACAATGATCCCCTTTTATTTTTTTTGAGGAAGATTAGCCCTGAGCTAACATCCACCACAAATTCGGCTCTCTTTGCTGAGGAAGACTGGCCCTGAGCTAACATCCGTGCCCATCTTCCTCTACTGTCTATCTGGGATGCCTGCCACAGCATGGCTTGATAAGTGGTGCGTACGTCTACGCCCAGGATCTGAACCAGCGAACCCCAGGCCGCCAAAGCAGAATGTGAAGCTTCACCACAATGCCACTGGGCGCCCCCAACAATGATCCCATTTTTGTAAAAACAAAACAAAAACGACACTATGATAGTACGGGGAACTGGAGAAAAATACTCTGAACTCTTCATAGCCGTTCTCTGGTTGAGGAGCGGGGGAGGTTATTGTGGATTTCTTCTGTGTTAAGTAGTTTGCAATATTTGAAGTTTGTATAACTTAACATGATTATTTGTAATCAGAAAAATATATTACTTTAAAAAGTAAATATATGTAAAAAAATATTCACACATAGTGTCTTCCCTCAACAAGTTTAAGATCTGGTTGGAAAGAGAGACATGTACCGCATGCAACTAACTAGAAATACAAGGCAAATTTTGCCAGGTGCCCATGACGAAAGTTTATTAGATACCAAGGTCCATGTTGGATCAGTTCCATAATGTCATTTCATCATCACAACAATCCTCTGAGGTAGATCTTATCTGTCTCCGTTTTTCAGATGAAGAAGCTGAAGCTGAGAGTGACTTGCCCAAGGTCACACACCTACTAAGGGAAAGGGCCAAATTTAAATCCTGGTTTTTCTGATTCCAAAGCTCATATTCTTTCAGTTCTGCCACACTGCCACCCATCAATGTCATGTCCCATGATCTGGACTGGGCAGGAGGGAAGGCAGTGAGTATCTTATGCTCTTTAAATGGGGCAGGTGCTTTCACACATAACACAGAGGGGACAGTCAGAGGGCCCCTATCTCTAATATTTACCCAAACTAGCCTATGGTGTAGCCTGCTCTGTATGGTTCCCTGCCCTCCTTGTGCTCAGATTCTTGGCTTTGGGCTCCAGTCCCTCCTTGCTTTCCTGACCTCTTTGGTCCTGCTTCTCTGACTTACCAACCTCTGCCTGCCTCACTTGACTCTCCAATTTGCTCCTTCCCATTGGATTGGCTCACTTGCCAATGAGACATTCCTCCTGTTAGCCTCAGCCTTGGGTACCCACACCTGCTAGGCAAGCTCCCTTGTCTTCCAGCCAGGAGAGTGGGATTGAACAGGCATAGCCAGGTCAGAAAATTAGAACGTCTCTGGGAGTGGCATAGAAAAATCATGTGCTTAGGGGGCCAAGCCAGGAATTCAGCGCCAGAATAGAAAAGCAGGAACTTATTTGAGAGTGAAATTGAAGCTGGGCTTTGAAGGGTAGGGAGGTAAATAACAGGGCAAATCTAAAGTCTAGGTGTAGCCTGGCCTGGAAACCAGTGGGGTGTTGGGTACTGAGACAGGAACGAGAGAAGGAATGCAAATACTTGGCACTAAGTGAATGCTTCACGGTGAGGTTTGATTACCTAATCATTGGAGCCTGCTTCCGCTTGGGCTTTCCCTATAATATCTGGCAGTGTCAGGCCATGAGATATAAGCAAATTGCTATAGGAGCACCAAGGCAAGAGAGATTCAATTCTGACTGAGGAGCTGAGGAGAGGTCTGCAGAGGATGTGAGATTTGAACTAAGCTTTGAAGGATACGTAGGGTTGCCATTGGTAGCGAGTGGGCATGTGTTTTAGCAGAGGGAATATTATAAGCAAAGACACAGAGGTATTAAGGTCCGTGACATATATGTTCCGTGAACAGCAAGTAGTTAGCAGTGTGGCTGGAATATGCTATGCATTAGGGGTGAGGCTCAGTGTGAGGTGAGGTTAGAAAGATAGTCTGGGAGATGGGGGAACTGTAGAGGGCCTTACATATATTGGCTAAAAATCCTGAATTTGAATCTGTAAGCAATGGAGCATCATTGAAGGCTTTATGAAATTGTCATACAGAAAAATTGGCATTCTGGGGTAATGTACATTGTAGCACATGTAGAGATTCGCGTAACCACCACTACAATCAGGATGCAGAACAGTTCCAATACCCACAAAGAATTCCCTCATACTACCCTTTATAGTCACACCTCCCAATAACCCCTGGCAACCACTGACCTGTTCTCTGTCCCTATAGTTTTGTCTTTTTAAGAATGTCATATAAATAGAATCATATAGTACATAACCTCTTGCATTGAAGGTTTTTGAGCAGAGGCGTGACATAGGGCTCTTTCAGGAAGATCACTTTGGTGTTTGTGTGAAGGATGGATTAGATGAGGGTAAAACTAGAAACCAGGAGACCAGCCACAAGAGTTCAAACCAGAGATGACCATTCCTTTGGCACACGTGGTAGAGATTTATTAAGAGGCTGATTATAGTTAATGAAACGGCTGTGGGAAGCATATGAACGTAAACTAGGTCACATTTACATCTCCATAATGTTTTGATATACTTTAGCATAATTACCCAAAGGATCTAATAGTACACACTCGGATAAAACAAAAAACAAAAAACCAGGCTACAGAAGAACATGTACAGTATAGTCCAGATTTTATTTTTCGAAAAAGACATATTCATAGAAAAATGTCTGGAAGGTGTGTAATATACACTAAGATCCTAATTTATTATTTCTGTGTGGTGGGATTAGAGGAGATCATTTTCTTCTTTATAATATTCTACATTTCCAAAAGCCCTGTTTCCTCTTCTCCTGCTCCCCTTCCCCCTCCTTGAAGCCTGGAGAATAGGTAGGATATGTACAGTTCTTTTGTTCCTTTGTACTACTTGATATAATTCTAGGCATAGAGTAGACATGATAAATTTTAGTCCATTTTTATTTCTGTGTTATGAAGAGAGAGTTGAGGTACTGTAATGAAGTGACTTGGCCAGGATCACACAGTTAATTAAGGGCAAATCAGAATGGAATCCAGGGCTAGTCCCTAGTCCAGATGTCTTTTTTAAAAAACTTTTTATTATAAAAATTTTCAAACATACATCAAAGAAAATAACATAATGTATTCCCATGTGTTATCATCCAGCTTCAACAATTATCATTTTGCCATTCTTATTTCATCTAGTCTCCAATCATTTTTTCTTTTCATCTGGCTGGAGGATTTTAGAGAAAATTTCTTTCTTTTTTTTAGATTGTCCCTGAGCTAACATCTGTTGCCAATCTTCTTTTTTTTCTTCTTCTTCACCCCAAAGCCCCCCAGTACATAGTTGTATATTCTAGTTGTAGGTCTTTCTGGCTCTGCTATGTGGGATGCCGCCTCAGCATGGCTTGACAAGCA